GGACAGGCATGGACCGGAGGGTGTCAAGCACAGCACAGGGTTGGCACCCGGACGGACAGGCATGGACCGGAGGGTGTCAAGCACAGCACAGGGTTGGCACCCGGAGGGACAGGCATGGACCGGAGGGTGTCAAGCACAACACGCTGTTGGCACCYGGAGGGACAGGCATGGACCAGAGGGTGTCAAGCACAACACACTGTTGGCACCCGGAGGGACAGGCATGGACCGGAGGGTGTCAAGCACAACACACTGTTGGCACCCGGAGGGACTGGCATGTCTGCAGCATGCCTGGACCTAATGGTGTCAAGCACATAGCCATGTTTGTACCTGGAGGTGCTGGGCTGGACTGGAGGGCGTTGAGCACAATGCTGGGTTTGTACCCGGAGGTACTTGCATGTCTGCAGCATGCCTGGACCGGAGGGTGTCAAGCACAACGCTGAGTTTGCATCCGGAGGGACTGGCCTGGACTGGTGGGTGTCAAACACAACGGCTAGTTTTGCACACAGGACTGGCATGTCTACATTATGCCTTGGCGTGGATATTGTAGAATAGTACAATTTGATGGGGATTTTTAAATGGGGTTCTGTGAATGTTTTATTCCTTGAATGTTTTCATTTTATTTTTCAAATAATTATTTATTTATATCTTTTTTTATATAGTAAAGAATACTGCCTCTGTTGCTGCCCATTTTTTTCTTTCCCATTTCAGGTGGTTTTCAGCGAAATCGATCACAATGAATATGATAAAGGAGATGACTCCACCTTACTGCTTTGTGATGGTAAAATATGTCTATTATATTCATGATTATTAACAAAGCTTATTATCTCAAAACATTCCAAAAAAAGAAATAAAAAAATTAGTATAAACAATAAATTATTAGTACACAATTAATGTAGTTGGATGTTTTTTCTTAATTTACAGATGACATGATTGTGAACCTTGAACAACAAGAAAAAGGAAGAAAAAATGGTGAAGAGAGAAAAATGGAAGGGAAAAGGAAAGGGAATTCGAAAGTAGGGAAAAGGAAACGGAAAAGAAAAAGAAGGAAAGGGAAAGAAGGGAAGGGAAAAGGAAAGGGAACCAAGGGAAAACGAAGAAATGGAAAGGGAGGAAGGGGAAAGAAGGGAAAGAGAAAGGGAGGAAAGCGAAAGAAGAGAAAGGGAAAGGGAGGAAAGCGAAAGAAGAGAAAGGGAAAGGGAGGAAAGGGTAAGAAGGGAAAGGGAAAGGGAGGAAAGGGTAAGAAGGGAAAAGGAAAGGGAAAACAGAGAAACAAAAGAAGCAGCGAAAAAGAGGAGAAAATTAAGGAGGGAAAAAGCTAAACGTATAAAGGATGACTAGTCTACTTTATTCGTCACTGGCTTTTTTTCATTTTTGGTCAAACAAACTCGGTTTTGGTGGACGTCATCAAGGCAATACCACAAAATTCCACGGACAGGACACATGCTTATGAAAAAAAATAATTTCCAAATATATATGCCATGGAAAAACTTTGATGTCCACTAAAACTTTCATTGGGAATTGGGATAGATTCTGTAACACATATCATTACAGCTTTTAAAAAAAAAAGTACTGCTGCCATTTTTATATTATATGTATTCTGAATATKAGCAAWTACAGTTTGTAGGAAATATGAAACGAGATTTGTTAATATAGGAGTCTGATATTTGCGAGATAATTACTAGTATTAAATTAGCACATGTTATGTAAAAMAAATGAATTCTTATTAAAAATTTAATGCAACAAAAATAAATAAATGTATACTAAGTTAAGAAAAAATAAAACGGAGGTCCTTACATTGCGTCATATCACGCGTCTGTGTTACGTGTGCAATTTTTTACTTCGAATGATTAACGGCTCGAAATAATCGAAAAGAGTCCAACTCCCAAAGTTCCACCTTTTCATCATAAAAACATTTTTATATTCCCATTTTTTATTCCCGTTTTTTTGAAGGCAATTGCAAATAGGAGCACTCCAGTCTTGCCATAAAACGACCCTACAGTATATTTAGAAATTTTGGATTTAATTATTATGCAGGGATATTTTTGTTTAAATTAAATCACAACGAAAAAATATCCAATAAGTCCTCCATAATTTACGTGAAAAGCGGGCCAAAATAATGGCACATTTAATTTTACTTTCTATATGATTAGTACTTTTCTCGGATCCCTTTTCTCGGACTCACGCAATTTCCCGCGTGCTTGTATAACTCAACACGCGCTCGTTTTCTATCTCTTCAATATATAATATAATAGGATAGCGGATAGCTTTGATGTAAGCCTTTGCTTTTTTAACGCACGTATTTCGGTTTGAACTCGATCGTCCCTCGATTTCCAAAAAGCCTCCTCGATCGTCCCTCGATTAAAGCCCCTCGATTGAATCGAGACTCGTTTTTGGGAATCGAGACATGTCGTTAGAGATCGAGACTCGTTCTTGGAACTCGAGACACGTTTTGAAAATCGAGACTCGAAGACCAGTATCCTTGAGAGATCCGTGCTACTTCCTTGTCTGGACCCCCAAAGAGTTGCATGTTGAGGCAATTGAATTTGWTCCTGACTTTTGGCAGAGAGCTTTGCTAAAACTTGATGTATTCTTTAAATCATACATGCTGAAAGTTTTACTAGGACTGAGGACAATTTACTTTTGTCCAATATGCGAGAAACTTATTTTAGAGGGCGAGGAACTACCTGAATCCTCACCTGAAAGTAGTGTCTGCTGTGACCACTGTTCAGCCTGGTATCACTTCAAATGTATTCAAGTCATGAACAGTGAACCTGATGAAGAATGGATTTGCAGTGCATGCTTACAGGATATGATGGCTGACTTGCATCACTGATAAGTATATATTACTGAAGATGTCCAAACTGTTGTATAAATAAATCATATTTATTTTTAATATTTAATATTTTCAAAGTTAGAGAACTTGGATTTTTAATAATAGTTGTTATTGTTACATTGAGAAAAAATGCCTAAATCAAACTAAATACATATATATATAGTTTCTCATCGCAATGAAGAAAAAAAAATCAAATCAAGTTTCACACTGTTTGGGACTAGATCTTGTTGTAATCACTTGACTAATGTAGATAACTGTTTGATAAACAAAACAAACTAATAGGCATGGTAGTCAGTTTGAGTTATGACACTCAATCCATAGAGTATCAATAACATCATATAATACTATTGTACAAAGTGTTTTTGTTTTCCACTAGTTTGTTCTCTGTTGAAAAATAAAATTATAATATTGTATTCCAATTAGTGCAGTCACTCACACAAAGGTCCACGTAAGCAAGTCAGTGCACACACAACCTTTACTATGTCATCACATAGGTAAAGGTGGCTCAGAGGAAGCACATTTTTCAAGATACGGAAGTGCTTCAATCGGCCAATGGCTTGTTCTACATAAATCCTTGCATTAGCAATACGTGATGTATTTCTCACTTCACTTGAAACCATTTGCAAGCCTGCAGTTGTGCTAGGAGGAATACACAAAGTTGCATTTCTCATCAGAAGCTCCTCTTTAATTTTGAAGCCAYGGTCTGCCATAATTTGGTCATTGCGCTCTACTAGATCTAAAAATCCACAATCTCTCACTATGAACTTGTCAGTTGCCCTGCCTCCATAACACTGAGACACATATGAAGGGGCTCCATTGGGGGTTATCCCAACCAGAAATTTCATTGTACAGTGATGTTTGTACTCAGACCATAGTGCTGCCTGTACATCTAAAGCACTAGGAGTGTCTGTAAACACCTCTGTACAATCTATAATGCAGCGTACATTAGGATAGAGTCTTTGAAATGAATCTGGTAATTCAAGTTTAATTTGACCTTTACTTGGCCACATGATCATCCAGCTAGGTTCTTTTGCCATAAATCTCAACCATGTTGCAACAGTTTTGGACACTAGAGCAGGTGAAATCTTGAATCTAAAGGCAAGATCATGGTTCATCAATCCACATCTTATTTTCATTAAGACCATTAGAAACTCTTGTTCTAAAAGCAATTTTCTTTTGGGTCCCCTTTTGACTGATGGTGGTTCCTCTCTTGCCTCTTCAAACAGTTTAAATATATCATTCAGTTTGTGAATTGTCACTTCATTTGGTTTTTCTTTTGAAACTTGAACTTGACCTTTCCAGTAGGTCATGTTCTTAGCCTTTGGTATTAGACTCTCAAACAAATATTGAAAAATTTTAGCACTAGGTAATCCAGTGTACTCAGTTACCATCCCTTCTCTAGAAATTTCTTCAAAGCACAGGTCGGGGAAAACTATTTCTGGTTCCCAGTCTGAGTCTTCAGACTGTGATTTATCATGTATTTCAACATTATATTCACCACCATCATCATCATCTTCAATCTCCATATCTCCAACATTATCGATTTGTGATGTTGATGTAGCAGGCTCTTCTCTATGCAGAGCTTTTCTTTTTTTCGGAGTGTTACCATACTTGTCTTGAAGCAAGGTCAAAAAGAGTGTTGGGTTTGGATTTACTGAAGTTGGCTCTCCGTCAACAAAATGGTTTGCACACACGTATGTTCCATTACCAGGTGAGAAATTACCTTCCAGTCCTGAAGGTATATTATCAATCCAGATTTTACGTTTGCTCTGAGCTTTTGTGAACTTAAAAAAGCGCATTTTTTAAACATGAGAGCGTATAACATATTTTTGTGGGTATCGATCATCATTATTACATCCACCAACACAGCAGTGAGCTTTTTTAGGTTTCGATGCCATTTCTTTAAATAAAGAATATTCAAAACAGAAACATTCAGTCCCATGTTTAACTTAAATATCGGGCTTTATCTTTGTTTAGATAAATATTCAATAGAAAATTAAAAGGAAACAAAAGAAATCGAAGAACCGTGTTTGTTTTGATTTGCATGCTCGCTCACGTACGCCACGCGGTCGAAGCCCTGACAAACATCGGCTAATATTAAGCTAAATAACGCCTTCTGAAGCTAGATATTCACGCTACAATTATGTTATAGTCTTACCTTTCAGATCCTGGAAGGGTTTTTCTATACATAAAGTTTGAAACTGTAAAAAAGAGAATTTTTGAAGAGGTGTCGCGTCACGCTCGAGAAATTTACAAGAAATGTATGGAGCTTAGTAGCCTGGCCTTGTTATTCCTTGCCTACTCGTCAAAATGGCAAGGAAAACCGTCACTCCAACTATTAAGGTAAGGCATTGCAAAATGGCTGTAAAATGGCTTTTTCCTCTCGACAGGTTCTTGTAGTATCACACAATCTGTAACAGCCATGTAGCAGTGCCGAACAGCGATGGTTAAGTGGCTGTATTTCGATGATAAGCGCTGTCAGCTACATGGCGATTAGACAGCCCGCTGCAAAATGACTTTCACTCCAGTTTAGCTGTGTATTTTAGCCTTGTACAACAGCCTTGTACAACGCTTTAATACGAAAACAATTCTCTCTTAATGTGAAAATTAATTAGAAAACAATATTCTTTTACGATTCCCAGGTATCTGTGGTTTCACCACCCCTCCCCCCAACCCTACCTACAAAATAGCAATTTAAAATATTATTTTAAATTCGTCAAATTTTACAAAGTTTACCTAGGTACGATGATAAACAAGTCATGAAATGTGAAATTCCATTAATATAAACCCTCAAAAAAATGAGAAATAAATTATTTTTCAATTGTATCCTGGCCTTTAAGAAACCACCCCTCCCCCAAAAAATGGCAAATAAAAGATGTCTTTTAAACGTCTTCAACTTTTAGAAAGTTTACCTAGGAACGATAATACACAAGTCATGAAATGTGAATTTTTATCAACATAAACTCTCAAAATATGAAAAATACATTATTTATCTGTAATTGTAGCCTGGTTTTCAAGTAACCACCCTTCTCCACAAGATTTTTTTTTTTTTTTTCCACATTTTATTAGGAACCAGGTGGTGGTGTGCGACACGGTGCACGTGACTTCAAGCACCCTATCAGATTCAGGTTTCTGCATGTTTACAATTTTCATCGGAAGCGCGTTGTTTCAAATTTTTAGAAGACCAACTACCCAGGAAAAAGTGGTTTTTAAAAGCTTGAGATTCAAAAGCCATTGAATTAGATCTATGTCGAAACGACATGGCGTAGTCCGTCCACCAAGTTCTACTCCATGGAAAAGGGGGAAAAAAGGAAGAAAAAGAACCTCCAAAACGTTTTTTAACGTTTGAATCTGTTGGTTAAAGTACAGGAAAATTGGTAATCAAAACATACGTAAATTCAAACCATAATAAGTTGCAGGCGATAGCTAGATCCTGATATCATGGCGAGCATGGACACAAAAAATACGATAGATATTTCATTTTTATCAGAACAATATACGATAGGATAGATATTTCATTTTTATCAGAATTACGTTTTTTTAAATTTATAACGGTGGCAATAACGATAATATTGTAGTAATCATGCTAATAATGTAGTAATCATGCTAGTCTTTGTGTGTCTTTTTTTAGAGGAATAATCTGAGAACATGTCTATAGCAAGAAAAAGAGTTAGCTGTCCTGGTGCAGTTTATAGCCCTGAACCATGAATTTCCTAAGTCAAGATGGCCAATTCAAAAAGTAATATTTTCATAGGAAAATTGCGCTGCTGCCACCGCTAGTTCCACAGGTCTTCCTAAATGAACACGTGAACAATGACGATTTAATATTTAATCATTAGGGATCTGTCATGAATTAGAGGAGAGGAAGCTGCTTCCATTCTTTTATCAGGATCTCCTTTTGCATACCATCCCCCATTTACTATAGAAAAAGAATTCAATCATCCCCTTCACATGATATGTAAAATATATGTCCCCCCCCCTCCAACTACACACACACACTAAAATACATGAAACAAGTCGGATAAAGCAAGATTACCCTCATTTGCTCGTTTAAAAGAAAGTGAGCTGCTAACTTTCCTGGTCTAGAACAGATAGTAACGAGAAATGTATTGCCATTATCTTTCCTCTCACTTTCCTCCACCTCTTCACCATACAAGTTCCTTCTAACTTATTTAACTCATACTCGTTCTTCTTGATTTACAAAGAAATGTATGGGATACTGACAACGTCCTTGCGTTTCTTGGGGTTTTTTGGGAGTCTTTGGACTTTAAACTGCTTTCTTGGGCTTCTATGAGGAAGTTCATTATCTTAATATTCCATTTCCAGTTCTCATCAGGATTCGTAGCCTAATTTACTGGTATATTGAAGCGAACACAACCTAGTAAAGCAAGTGAGGTGACTGAAGGGGTTCCGACCCGATCAAATATTATCTCATTGGCTGTGGATAAAACTTGTCAAAACCTTAGTAAATATACCAAACGTACAGCAGCATAGATAGAAATTCCTTATTAGAAATTCCTAGAGTCGTTATAGGGAACCGCAGTTGATAATGGGTAACATTTTACTTAATTGCCATTGCTCGAACTGAGTCGTCTTCACTCCGGATTGGGAATAATTTATTCCCCGTTTATCAAACAGTTTTTGTGAGTGTTGTAATATTTCAGTGATTATTGTTAAACTCTTAAGAAGTATTTAGTGCAATGCTAAAAGGACTGAAATGAATGGTTGAGACAAAATACCCGTACGATGTCTACGATTAACATAATAATACTACTAGTCACAATATTTTAATTCTTTGCTACCGCTTATAATGCTCTGTAGATTTTTTACCTAAATTTCCCTCGATAGACGATTGTTTTATCTTCAAAGATAGGCATGGCTAGATACTGTGAGACAGGATAGAAAACTAATAGAGTAGAAAATATTATATTCGACTATGAAGTGAAACCATGTTGACCTGCAGAGTAACAGATAAGGAGGACTGAAGCCTATCCCAGAATGCTTTGCGAATGACTGTATATTATCGAAATTTTCGTCATCACGTCATCACTCTTATCAGGCCATTGAAGAGGGAAAGTAAGATGGCGTCCTTCCGAACGCTTCGGGATGTTCAAGCAGATGTTTTTGAAAATTCGTCACTTATATTCATTCATTGTATTTCTAAAACGGATGTTACAATCAGAATATGCAACTTAGCCTGTCTTGAGCTTGTCTTTCGAGAGATTCATCTATCGTTTATTCATAATCTCGCTGAAAGAAGAGTTGCTTTGATACCACGAAATAATGGTTCCAGAAGTGTCGAATCTCTATTTGAGAATATCAACAGCCCTGTTCTTGTCTCTGTAACTTCAAGCTGTAATACTAAGGTAAGCTTTTATATTATATGTGGAGACTGATAAATATGGTTGTTGCGATTTGAAGTTAAAAAACGCTCGCTTGTTAACACGTTTGACCTGCAATCGTTGTTTTTTCGATTTCAGTTTAAGGATTCCCAAGACGCACGAGAAGATCAAACATTGGAAGCGACTCTTATATGGGACCTAGAAGTCGTATCTGCTCCTGGTACGTGCAACGTGCGTCCTGTTCCGATTCCCGACGCGAGTAACATTGACCAGCTACTACCTCCTTTGAATTTAGAAGTCCAGACGTCTTGTAATTGTTTTGCAAACGCTAATGGTTCGCAACAGTGCTTAGTAAATTTTGAGACCTACAGAGAGGCAGAGGAAGACCCATTGACTGGTCTTCTCAATGATCTAGTTTAGAAGACGAAGAAAGTGATGATGCAGATGTCCAAGAAGAACAAAGACTAAACATTGAAGAAAAAAAAGTAGATGAGGATCAAGAGAACAACAGCATTTCTACAATTAACTACATGGAATGCTTTAAGATTGTTGGCTCACACTGGGAACAGAGATATCAGGACAGCCTTGAAATATGCTACAATATCCCTGTGAATAGACAAAAACCTCAAGTAAGAGCAGAACCAGAGCCAGATAACATTTGTGATAAAAATGCCATTAAATTTGAAGTCCACCACATTGGACAATGGCATATTATGGGATACTGTTGGGTAAAAAAAATTCCCAAACTGAAAAGAGCTCTTGCAAGACATTCTATTGTCAGCATCGTCATATACAATTTGAGGCGGATATGGGTGCCCCAAATAAGCCAGTTCCGCTACATTGGAGGAGTGAACATTGTTAAACAAGGGAGATGGGAAAAAGATGACCTACAGAATGTTTACAATTCTAATATTCCTGTGTAGAACTAATGGTTGGATTTTCTTGAGTCTTTAGGTATTCGCATAAATAAACCTAATGTGGGAAACACAGTTAGAGTAGTGGTGAGAGTGCTTGCCTCTAACCAAGGCGACACGAGTTCAAGCCCCTCCACTGTTAATATTCCCATTTATTATTTATTTAAATACATTGTGAACTCTTGCAGTGCAGCAGAATGCAGCTCAAAGAGGAGAAAGAAACAATAAGTCCTCATGGACAGGAAATTGAAATTCTTTTTTTCAAATTATGCACCTATCAACAGCTTTCTGAATGGGATATGTGGGGCATTACACAGGGTTTGGCTACAAACATTGTCCTTGCGGTCAGGGAAAATGCTTGACTTTGTTTTTGGATACTCAAATTCGGATGAATATAATAAAATATGATTTAATGACTCTGGGGACTTTGAAAACAAAGATTTCCCACACACCCCTAGGAAAAATTATTGTAAAGAATGATTCTATTATTCTACAATTTCCCTGATTGGTTAAAGGGTAGCCCCTTCAGGAAAGCTGCTGATA